TCTCACATACACATAATTAAAAATAATAAAAATCTTTTAAGCATTGAGTAAATGTAAGCTGGGCCGTGGTTGTCCGCCATTTGGAGGTTGAGTGAGATAGGATTCAAGAATTTAAAGGCTAGCCTGGGCTACATAGTCAGACACCATCTCGAAATGGCAGGGCTGGGCTGGATCCATGGGTAAAAGTACTTGCTGTACACATACCTAGCAACCTAGGTTGGATTGCCCAACCCGTGAACTTGCTCATAGGTAGAAAGAGAACTGGCTCCACAAGGTGTCCTCCGACCTCCACACACACGGCATAGCATGACTGCCCACACCACAGTGATCACTGTAAAAGTCCTGTAAATGCTTTTGTGTTGATACTTACATTTGGGGGGTTTAACCTAATTCAAGAGCAGTGATAATAGATGATCATTTGTTTTTGGACTGTCCTTCTTGGGTAAACTAAAACCTGAGCGTGGGTCCTAACTTCTTGGTTTTTAAAAGGAATTTGGCTGGTCAGTGAGAGCCCTAGCCTGGCTGCTTATTAGAACCACGTTTGGCTCCGCTTTCTGTCTTTACAGCACCGGGCAGCAGACCCGGTCATGGCCAGAGGGCCAGAGGCTGGGGATGGGGAGCACGTGGAGCAGGGCTCCCCCGAGGGGCCTCGACCTTGCTCTTTCTCCTCCTGCCTCTTAGGTCTCACCCCACCATCCTGGACATCCCTAACCGGCTGTACTATGATGGAGAGCTGCAGGCCTGTGCAGACGTGGTAGATAGAGAACGGTTCTGCCGCTGGGAGGGGCTGCCTCGGCAGGTGAGGCCGAGCAGGGCAGGGCTCCGGGCTCCAACCCTGGAGCCCTGATTCCCTGGCTGGGTCGGAGGGTAGGGGGGCCGGGAGATCAGCCTGAGGGACTCGCTCCGCTGTGTCCAGGGCTTCCCCATCATCTTCCACGGCGTGATGGGCAAAGATGAGCGAGAGGGCAATAGCCCATCCTTCTTCAACCCTGAAGAGGCTGCCACGGTGACGTCATACCTGAAACAGCTCCTGGCCCCTTCCTCCAAGAAGGGTAAAGCCCGCCTGAGCCCCCGGAGTGTGGGCGTCATCTCCCCATACCGGAAGCAGGTCAGGCCCTTGGTCCAAGACTAGGACTTCTCTCTTTGCCCACCAGCACCCTGGCCAGCTGTCTGCCTCTGCCTCCCTCTGTGAGGGTGATGGCATGAGAGAAAGGCACCTATCCCCTCCCTCCAGGTAGAAAAAATCCGTTACTGCATCACCAGACTGGACCGGGAACTTCGAGGGCTGGATGACATCAAGGATTTGAAGGTGACATGCACCCTGTGTTCTCTCCCAGCCTTCCGTGTGCCTCTGACCTCAGTCTGTGTTGTGCCCTGTTTCCTCAAAACGAAACTGGGGTTTCCCCCAGGTAGTTCCGAGATGGAACCTGGAGGCCTGCCTACTTAACAAGTGCCGTGTCTTTCTTATCAGTCAGGTGTGTGGCCTCTGCCCCCAAGGATGAAGTCCAAACTCTCTAGACCAACCCTGCCTGTCATGTGATCTTATCTCCTTGCTCCCTCTGTAGCTTAACTCTCCGTCTGAAGGGCTGGCTCAACACTGATTCAGATAAAAATCACTTGGAGAACTTTAATAGTATCACTGCTTTGGTCCCACCCAGCCAATTACCATAGCTGTCTGGAGGAAAAGCCAGGGTGGGTTTTTGTTACTGTTTCGTTTACTATTTATTAATTTATTTTTGGTTTTCAAGACAGGGTTTCTCTGTGTGGGTAGCCCTGGATGTCCTGGAACTCACTCACTCTGTAGACCAGGCTGGCTTCAAACTCAAGAGAGTGTCTGCCTCCCGAGGACTGGGATCCTAAGCACCATCACCACCCAGCTTTGTTTTGTTTTGTTTTGTTTTGTAAAGCTCCAGGGGTGATTCTGATGTGTGGAGCCAGGGTTGAAAACCACTGCTTTATGATTTCCAGGCCTCTCCCTCAGATATTCTGACCAGATTAGTGACTGTCTCCAGGGAGAGCACCGGGCAGTGCCTGCCATTTGATTTGCTTTGAACCCTGTCCAGCCCCCACCCTGGAACTGGCTCTGTTCTTAGGCAGGCCTCCCCAGCAGGCAGGCCTCCCGGCCCCTTCCTGGCCCTGCACTCCTCACTGATCTACAAGTAACCAGTGACTTGTCTGTACCTTCCTGGCCGGCCGCTTTGCCTCCTAGAGCCGGTCTGTCCCCATGGCTCCTCTTGAGCCTGCCCGGGGTCTCGAGACCTGCCTCTGCACTCTAGGTGGGCTCTGTGGAAGAATTCCAAGGGCAAGAACGAAGCGTCATCCTCATCTCCACCGTCCGGAGCAGCCAGAGCTTTGTGCAGCTGGATCTGGACTTTAACCTCGGTTTCCTCAAGAACCCCAAGGTTAGAAGGCTTGTGGGGTGGCATGAATTCTTCCTCAGGGCCTGTCCCTTCCATGACATCACCACTTCTTCCCCCCAGAGGTTCAACGTGGCTGTGACCCGGGCCAAGGCTTTGCTAATCGTAGTGGGCAACCCCCTCCTCCTAGGCCATGACCCGGACTGGAAAACGTAAGCACTCCCACCCCATAATTGCTCTTGGTGACCACGAGCCCCGAAGCACCCGCTTATACTCAGTCCTCAGATCTGGTGCTGTTCACAATTGCCCACCCTGAATTCTTACATGAAGCTGGGCCACTCTGCCTTCTGCCTCCGCTCCGCGGCCAAGCCTGCACAGCTTCCCCTGCCAATGTCCCTGTACCCCACAGATTCCTGGAGTTCTGTAAAGAAAATGGGGGCTATACTGGATGCCCCTTTCCTGCTAAACTGGACCTGCAGCAGGGACAAGACTTGCTCCAAGGTCTAAGCAAACTCAGCCCCTCTACCTCAGGTACGGACGGGCCATGGTGGGCCAGGCAGGGGGCGCTGTGGGAAGAAGAGGCAAAGCAAAGCAAGTATGTCTCTTTTTCTTCCTAGGGCCCCGCCGTCACCACAGTCTCCCCCAGGAGCGGGATGGCGAAGGGGGCCTGCCCTTACAAGTGGAGCCAGAGTGGAGAAATGAGCTCTGAAGACACAGCTGCCGCCTTCTCACACCAGCCAAGCCTTATTGCTGCCCATCCCTGACCCAGAACCCAGCTCACCTGTCCACCGAGAGACAGGCAGGCTGGGGAGTTTACAGCCCGAACCGTCCCGCCCCTTCCTCTGCTAGGGACAATAACCCAAGCTGCTAAAACTTGGAGGAAGGGGATGAGGAAAGCTTTTTTTTCCCCCTCGCCTTTGCCGTACTGGGGATGGAACCCAGCGCCTCGAATATGCTAGGCAAGCAGCCCACTGCTGAGCTGCTTTAAGAAAAACAAAATGCCGTTCTATGCAAAAGCCTCTTGCTTCCGTCTCATCAGCCTGGCCTTGCTTCCTGTGCCCCGGAGCTGACCCTCCAGGAGGGGATCTGTCCAGAGCCACACCCCTTCAGAACTACGTGGAGGACAAGAAACCCAGTGGACAGGGAAGCCACCCACAGGCTTCTATGTTTAGCCAATGGTACAGACCACTCCCCTCACCCACCCAGGCAGTCAGCCAAACATGACCTCATCCCTTACTCTATAGACTCCACCCTGTCCCCTGCTGCCTCCGCCCCCCAGCCCTGCCTCTGCAGACAGGGGCCCAGCCTAGGCAGCAACTTGGAAATGAAGAGAAAAAGATGGGACTCCAGGCTCACAGCCAAGGGAGGCCAGGAAAGACAGGAAGCTGCCACACATGGCGGAACCTTTGACCTTTATTCATGTCCTGCCCTCCCACCAAGTAAAGTCAGAGCAAGGCTACTACCCAAAGCAGAAACCCCGGTCCCTATCCCAGACTCCTCCTGTGAGCCAGAAATATATAAAGTGCTGGTGTGTGATATGGGGAAGGCCAAAGGGACTAAGAGCCCTATCCCTGGACCAATGCAGCGGGAGGAGGGGCCCTGCTCAGGAAGGGGCAGGGCTGACCAGCCTGGTTCCCAGAGGCAAGGAGGAAGGGCCGACCAGCCCCCACTCGGGGCTGGGAAAACTCATGCAGTCCTGGGCAGGAAAGAACCAGAAAGGAAACTGGCAGTGTGGAGTCCTACGAGGGTGGAAGGGGGCGGGTGGGTGGGTGGTGTGTGATGTGTACCCCCGGGGGGAGGGGCGGAATTGGAGAGACCTTGGGAAAGTCAGAGAATGGGACAGCCCCTCCGGCGCTTATTCTTGCGGACCTGCAGGCCAGCCCGAGTGGCCATCTCAAATACCTCCCGCACCCCTTCCTTGGTCTTGGCTGAGCACTCAAGGTAGCCAAAGGCACTGATCCTGTTTGCCATGTCCCGGCCTTCCTCAGACCGAACGGGCTCCTGCGAAGACAAGACATGGGGTCAAAAGAAGGGGCAAATCAACATCCTCCATACACCCTGCAGAACACCCAGGTCCCAGCTACCACAGGCCGTTTCCAGGCTGGGGCCCTAAGACCCAAGTTGCCATTTCCGAATTCTGTCTATTCTCCCCTCCCACCCAGCCTTACCCCTACACGCTCATTCCTCCTCCCCGGAACAAGTGCCCACTGCCCAGCTGACCTCCGTTCTCATCTTCCTCTAGCCCACTGTCCTCAACTTTCACATCGGTCCTCAGGTTGTGGTGGCCCCAACCACAAAGTTACTCGGTTGCCGCTTCATAAACTAATGTTATGAATCATGATGTAAATGGCTGATACGCAACCACCAAAGGGGTCATGACCCACAGGCTGAGAACCACTGCTCCAGTCCCTCCTACAGAGCTACCAGAATATTTTTACTAACAGACAGACTGGACATCTGTCCCCAATTAAAAACCTTAATTATCCTCCCGAGATAGCCTACCTTCCTTACCATCCTCTAAATAAATCAGGCCCCAGCCTCGAGTCATTTGGCAGGGCTCTGAGTGCGCACCCTCTGAACCTTTCCCTTACAATGCCCTCCCTCCCAGGGCACTCTACCGGCACGGCTCCCACACCCCTCCTTGACAGGGCTGCCCCTGAGGGTAAGGATGGCTCTTCATTCATCTTAGTAGCCCCAACTCCAAAGACAGACCAGACCATCCGCTGGAACAAGTTGTGAAAACAATGCCCTTGGACAGGTCACTTCCCTGACAGTTTGGGTACTCTGCGGACCCTCTAGTACTCTGCGGACCCTCTAGTTCCCCCAACACGTAGACCATAGACAGCAGGAGGCGAACCCAGAGCCTCGATAAGGCTAAGGCTGGCTATCTATCGGCTGCTTTCCATCCTAGTTTTCTGACCCTCGAGGACCTTTCCTCACCACAAGAGCTGCCCCACCCACCTGTTTCATCTTGGCCAGCTCTCTTCTGGTATGCTCATCTTGCCTCAGATCCTTTTTATTCCCCACTAGGATGATGGGCACGTTGGGACAAAAGTGCTTCACTTCCGGGGTCCACTTCTCAGGAATGTTTTCTGCGGAGATATCCCAAAAGGTGTAGGTGTACCCGCGGAGCACCAGAGGCCCCCGGTCTTCCACAGCGTTCACAGAGACTATTGAACGGGCAGGCACCCTACACAGCTCAAAGCCCTTTGGAGTGGACACCCTCCACCCCAAGGGCTCCTGTCTCCATAGCAAAGGAGACCTGCAGGGCCTACACTCCCAACACTCCCTCCCCACGGCCTCTGCAGGCTCTCAGTCCCTCCTCCAAAGCCTTACCAAGGCTGTCAGGGCTGTCAATGGAGAAACACATGAGGATGACGTCAGTGTCCGGGTAGGACAGGGGCCGCAGGCGATCGTAGTCTTCTTGCCCTGCTGTGTCCCACAGAGCCAGCTCCACCTGACACATACATAGGGCTGCTGAGTAGCTAGCCCAAGGATCCCCAACCTAACACCCCGAGGCCCCCTGAAATCACTGGTCCTATAAACTTACGGAACGTCTTTCCAGCACTATGTGCTGAGCTGTACTGACCAGTGACAAAACCAACAATACACGTCTAAAAATCTAAGGTGGATTTGATCTTTGTGGTGGATGAGCTGCCGTGGTAAGCACCATTTAATTCTTACAGCAACCCTTGGGGGTAGGTCTCACCCTCATTCACATTTTGCAGCAGGGAGAGGTTAAGCCCAGAGGCAAAGGGACTTGGCTCAGATTCCAGCGCCAGTATGTGGTCAAACCAGATAAGTACATCCAGGTTTTCTGGGGCTACAGTTTCACTTCCTAAGTTCTGCTGGTTCCAGCAGGGAAATGAAGCGAAGACGTATATCTGGGTGCTAAGAAACGGCATCCTAGGGCCCTACGTGGCTGGGGGCAGGGTTCCCAGGCAAGGAAGTCTCGGCCTTCACCTGTTTGCCATCCACTTCAATGTCTGCGATGTAGTTCTCAAAGACCGTAGGGACATAGACCTCTGGGAACTGATCCTTGCTGAAGACAATGAGAAGGCAGGTCTTCCCACAGGCACCGTCACCCACAATCACCAGCTTTTTTCGGATTGCAGCCATGGCTGAAACTGGCAGTCCAGAGGCAGTGGGGATTTGGGAGAAAAAAAATCCAGTCAGTCCAACAGCAGGCTTCTTTAGGGGCCCCAAACTTCCGTGAAAACCACAACATCCAGCAAAGGAAGGGAAGGGGCTAGCCAAGGCATGTTCTTGCCAAGAACCCATCCTGCAGGCGAAAGACCTCGAAATGCTGGCCAGAACAGGTCTTCCGGGATGAGTTAGAGTTGATCAGGAGGAGGACAATGACATGTAGAAGCCAGCTGGCTGAAATCTTACCCATTCACGTGCAAAACCCTGGGCACCTGAGAAGTGCTCAGGTGTACTCCAAAAGACCTAGATTTATCTGCCTTGCCTATCAGCTTCATGTTGCCAAGATTTTGACTCGTGAAAAATCACTAAAATGCAAGCTAGAATGGATTGTCCCTCAGTAGAAGTCACGCATGCCTGGTCACAAAGAAGCCAGCTACAGGAGGTGGGGTGAAGCAAGGAGCATTGGTAGCGCGGCTAGGTGCTCGTCTCTCCCTGGACACACGTGCTTTGTTGGGCATTTTGAGAAGAACCTTCAGCTCTCCAGCTGCCCGTTAGGTGGATGTGGACGTCAGGGGACAACTTGTACTCAGTTATCTCCCTCTACCTTCCAGTGGGTTCCCGGGCTCGAACTCAGTCATCGCCCTTGCTCGGCAAGCACCTTTGCCCGCTGAGCCATCTCACTGACCCCAGGCCACCCTATTCCGACAAAAGCAGGACACCGAGGCTCAGTGAGGTTTAGACACGTATTCAGAGTCTGACGCATCAGTTGAAGGGCTGCCTCTCAAAGTAGAGCAACTGGACATTGTGTGGATCCAGACTGGACGCCACAGGTGATCAGGAGCAAAGAAAGTAAGCCAGAGGGCAGTGGGAGCAGCCGGCTGGCGTCCCTGGCCCACCCCATCCCTTCCCCAAAGTCACACAAAGAAGGCTCAGTCCTGGCAGCTCACGGTCAGGCAGCCCGCCCCCCCCCCCCCCTGGGCCTGGCAGCAACATTGGGTCACTCAGCCCCTGACAGGGGACAATGACCACACTGTGGGGAGCCACACATCTACCACAGCACTGCTGTGATGGAGCTAATCCACTTGGGAATCACCTCCACCCACTCTCTGGAACAGCCCCTTCCTCCCAGAGGCCAGCTGACCCTGAGGCCCCGGAGACACCTCCCTGTGACTCAAGGCAAGGAGTCCGGCTTCTCAGGGTTTGCGTGTGTCCCGCACGCCAGCACACATGAACAAGCAGGTCGCAGCTTCTCTGCCTTCCCAGCTCCCCCTCCCAGGGAAGGGGAGCAGACCAGGCTACTGAGGTCCCCAGGCCCACACAGGCCTGGAGGGGAGGGAGAGTACCAGCCAGCTTAGGAGTAGAGATGGAGTCAAGGCTGTTGGGGAGGTGGAGGGAACTAGAGCCTGGGCTGGGAGGAGCCCCAAAAGAAAAGACTAATGAGGATCAGTCTAAGCTCTGACCAGGCAGGGAGCAGTTAAAAAGGGGACAGTAACCCGATCTCAGCCCCAAACGTGGCTTTTCCTTTCAATCCCCATATCCTGTCTGGCTCAGCTGGACTCCTTTTCTCCCTACACACCACCACCTCAGACCCTGGCCTGTGCCGCCTGCCTGCCTTTTAGGAAGCAGAACACTCCAGCCTCGTGCTGATTCTTTTCAGCATCAGGCTCCTGGGTGGTTCCTCCTCCCCTACACACACACACACACACACACACACACACACACACACACACACACACACACACTGGGACGTGAGGGAAGAGGACATGAGTCACAGAGAATTTATAGTTGAGTATGCACAGCCACACTTACCACCCCCCACCACAAGGGGTTCTCCCTGATACCCCAAAAGACAGAGAAGAAAGCATTCACTCTGCTGCTTTTAAAGACCTCCTTTAAAAGGGAGATCTGAGAAGTATATCCAGGTAACCCACGGGATTTCTTCCAACTCCCCCACCTACTCCCATTAATTCAACTAGTCCAGCTGTATACAGACTGGATGAGACAGCCCCAACCCAGGGTGGGCAGTGTTGACGACGGAGGTGATGACTACGGACACCAACAGCTAGTCACTTCCGCACGCATGTGCCACTGTCTGTCCCACAGCAAACATGGTTGGCACCAGAAGGCAGGAGGCAGAGGCCTAAACTTCAGGGCAGGGTTTGAGCCCCCACCTCAGAAAATCTTGCATTTAGCCTCTTCTTGGCCCAGAAGAATTGGAGACCCAGGCCAAGCCAGGGCATTAGGCCCAAGGCCAAAATGGCAAGGCTCACACTCCCTGTGAAACGCAGTCCCAGAGGAACTGCCCCACTGATCCTAAGAGAGACAAGGAAACCTCAGGCAGGGCCTGGAGAGGGGTCTGGAACTTGTGGGGCCTTCCCCGAGACAAAACACTAGCTCTCCTTATTCTCTTGGTTTCCCAGGTGATCCAACAGGCCTTTGTACTCTGCTCCCCTGAGATCTAGGCAAGGAATCACTCTTCAGGCAACACCTATTCCTTAACTTTAAAGCCAGAAGTAAAGGAAGAAATGGGCCCCAGCTTTCGGCCCAACCCCCTAACACTCCCCAACCTCCCAACAGGGTAGGAGGCAGAGTCTGGGATTTTGGTGTTCTGTTATTTTCCTCACTCGAGACGCACATACACAACACAGGAGCGGGATCCTTCCTAGCCGTCTCAACCTCTTAGCTCAGACTTAGCTCCAAAAGCCGTCTAGGGCGGCGTCCAGACCCGCCAGGCAGTGGCAGCCCCCAATAGTAACACCCGCCCCTATTCCCGCCATTCCTCTTCCCAGGCCAGAACTCCCCTAGCCGGCCTAAGGCCCTGTTCCTTACGCCCCGCCCGGAACTGGAGCGTCTGGGTAGGGTCGCTCACAGAGATCCAAACGGATCGCTGGCCCGGCTAGGGAGGTTCGGAAAGGCAGGGCTCAGAAAGGTTAGAGGCTCTGGTTCGAGAGCGCTCTAACCCAGGAGGCTGAGCGCCCGCCCCGCAGTTCGGGGCGCTCTCCCGTGCCCGGCCCGGAGCCCCCTGCGGGGCCGTTCCCCCAGCGATCAGAAAACCGGGAAAGTGCCTTCCTCGGAGCCCAGTTCCCAGGACGCCTCGCCACCACCCCCAGCTCGGGCCCAGGTACCTTCCGCTCCGCCGCCTCCAGCTGCGCGGCCGGTGCCGGAGGCTGAGACTGACCCGAACCCCGCCCCACTCTCCAGCACCGCTCCGGGGCGGGCCAGTCGGGGGAGGGAAGGGGTCGACGGGGGGCGGCCCTTGGCTCGGCCCGCCTCTGCTCCCGGCCCCGGGCGGCCGCAGGTCACCCCCGCTGCGGGCCGGGCATGGGGCGTGGGGCTGGAGCTGGAAGGACCGTGCCGGGGAGATTTCTGGAGTGTTGGGCGGTGAGCGGGCGGGTGGGGACCCCAGAGGACTCGGCCTCGGCCCCTTCACTTCCCAACCCTCCTACCGTGGGGGGCGGACCCGAGTCGGGAAAGTTGAGCGGCTCCCAGGGTGGGGTCAGCGAGGGCCGCTGCTGCCCTCGCGTGGCCAAGCAGCCCTCGAGGTTCTGCCCCTCCTACGCCCTCGCCGTGACCGAGGGGACTGGTTATGTAGAAGCTGCCCACTCTCAGCACCAGGAATCACTGCGTTAAGTGTAACACGACGCAATCCCGAGCCTTAGAAGCCTTTTGCGATTTGCAGTCCCCAGTCACCGTCGCCTTACAAGGCCCTTCCTTCCTTGGCCGGGAATTTCCCTATGTCCTGTTAAGAGCACACTCCTGGAAGTCCTTCCCCGTCGCCAACTGGGAACTGAGCTCATACTCCTATTGTATTGTGCTGTTGAGACCAGTCTGATGTGTTGTTTACCTGACCCTGTTTCTCCTTCCTTATAAAGGAGGTGGGTGTTGGAGGAAGTCGACCAATATTTTATTTGCTAGTGCTGGGTACTTTAAACACGAGTTCTCTGGAATAAGTTCACTCCTTCCCTTTTGCCTGTAAAGAAACTGAAGCCCAGGGAAGTGGTTTGGCAAACGATTTGTGACAGCAAGAATTTATAGTGAAATGGGCCATGGTAATACACAGGGAGCAGAGGCAGGTGGATCTCTTGAGTTAGTTCCAGACCAATCTTGCTACATGAGATCC